GCCACAAAAGGATATCAATCCACTTTGTGCGCTTCAGCCACCCCATATGGAAGAAAAATATACCGTATTTTTCGCCGTATAAGACGCACTTTTTCTTCCCCAAAACTGGGGGGGAAATGTCAGTGCGTCTTATGGGGCGAATATGGAACGGCCGGTCCGGTATTTCCACCGCGGCCGTGTCAGAATACCGGGCCGACCGCTCAGCTCTGCAGCGGGACCTTACCTGTTCCTCTATCCAGCGGCGTGCGGTCTTCCCGGCTTCTGTAGTGTAGGCACTGGGCATGACAGCTGGGTGCCCAGTGCGCATGCGCAAGAAGCGGTGCTTTTTGTGAATGGTAAGGCGGTACCGGGGACACATGACAGATCCCAGAAGCCGCCGGACCAATCACAAAGCGCAAGTGGTTCTCGCTCATGCGCACTGGGCACCCGGCTGTCATGCCGAGCGCCATTACAGAAGCCGGGAAGACAGCGCGCGGCTGGATCGAGGAACAGGTAAGATCAAACAAAAACTCTCTGCGGAAGTAAGAGCGGGTACCTGTCAAATTCAGGTACCCGCTCCCCACCTCCCCAAAGGTCAGCAGTCATCTGTACTGTCCGCAGTCTCTGGTCATCTCCTGTACTGTGTCCGCAGTCTCTGGTTATCTCCTGTACTGTCCGCAGTCTCTGGTCATCCCTGTGCTGTCCGTAGTCTCTGGTATCCCTGTGCTGTCCGCAGTCTCTGGTCATCCCTGTACTGTCCGCAGTCTCTGGTCATCCCTGTGCTGTCCGCAGTCTCTGGTCATCCCTGTGCTGTCCGCAGTCTCTGGTCATCCCTGTGCTGTCCGCAGTCTCTGGTCATCCCTGTGCTGTCCGCAGTCTCTGGTCATCCCTGTGCTGTCCGCAGTCTCTGGTCATCCCTGTGCTGTCCGCAGTCTCTGGTCATCCCTGTGCTGTCCGCAGTCTCTGGTCATCTCCTGTACTGTGTCTGCAGTCCATTAGTTCAGAATTTTTTTTTCCTGTTTTCTGCCTTTAAAACCTAGGTGAGTCTTATGGTCAGGTGCGTCTTATACGGCAAAAAATACGGTATTTAAAATATATTTTAAAAATATTCTTCCCAAATATATTGCCATATATTTGAAATGCTACAATTTTGTCCATATTCAATATATTTCAAAATATATTTTTATATATATATATATTGCATATGGACAAAATTGTAGTATTTCAAATATATGTCAATATATTTGGGAAGAATATTTTTAAAATATATTTCAAATATATTTTTCTTCCATATGGGGTGCATGAAGCGTTACAAGGTGATATCTGGGTTTGCGAAGGCATTTGGTGCACACAAAGTGGATTGATATCCTTTGTGGCTAATGCAGAATATATTTAAATGAACGTTTCGGTGGCCGGAGTTCATCTTTAAGTGAACCTGTTGATTTTCTCTGTATCGGCCAACCGCTGGTTTATTTCAGATCGGCTCTGGACGGACTGTCCCTTTAAACGATCGATCCTATTTTGCATGATGCTTTGCACAATGCTCGTCAATTAATCACCTGAAAGCTCGATAAGAACTCATAAAACCTGAACATTGCGAGAGATGAATTGATTTTTCTTTTTTTGTGTGTGTGTGCTGCAGTCTCGCTTCTTTTCATCACAACAGTGTGAAAAATACCGGTAAAAAAAAAATGCGCTGACGCAGCAAAGCCATTCTATTCTTTACAAATATTTCCCTCTGCCCGTGTCCTATAGGGAGCTGGCGCCGTAGTGTGACCTACATTCTAACACATACAAGGTGGGGGTGGGGAGGGGAGACTGCTGGGCAACAGGCAGGCAAGGGTGCGACTCGAGCCGGAATAGTCCATACTACTAGTCTATGGGCCAACGGCTGTGAGCCAATAGAATTCTGCAAATAATGATGGATAAAATGAACGCATATTCTGTTCAGGTGCCGCTGAATTGCTACAGAACCCAATATTACACCACGGTTTTCAAAGCGTACCTGTAAGCCCCCCACCACTGTTTGACTGCCACTCTGGTGAAACCAGGGGCGGACTGAAAACTCATGGGGTCCCCGGCGCAATAGGGGATCATGGGGCCCCTGTGTCCTTGCACAAACTCAAAAAAGCCTATGAAAAAGGTACCAGGGGCATCTCATGGGGCCTCCTACTGACCCCGGGCCCTCGGGCAGTGCCTGAGTTTCCAAATGGTCAGTCCGCCCCTGGGTGAAACTCATTTTTTTATCATTATTAAAAAAAAACTGAGGGGTTGATTTACTAAAGGCAAATAGACTGTGCACTCTGCAAGGGCAGTGCTTGGTGGTGGGGCAGCCATGCTGGACAGGCGCAGTAGAACATCAATCTAGAGCCAATTTTAGACAAGAGCTAGATAATTCACTAGCGTGTGGGAGGAAACCCACAAAAGCACTGTGAGAACATGCAAACTCCATGCAGATAGCTTCCTGGTTATTGGGATAAGTAGCAGGTAGCTTAGTGGTTAGAGATGCTGTAATGCAGAAGTGCTAACTATTGAGTCACCTACTACAACTTTAACCAAGGAACCCTAAAGGCTGGGGTGCTCAGTTAGCAAATATCAACCACAGTTCAGAAGACTGAGCTTTGGACCCACTCCCTTCCCCACTACATAGGTCAACAAGAAGGCCAATAGCAATGGGGTGGGTCCAAAGTTCAGAAAACTGAGTTTGGACCCCCCCTCTTCCACTGGCCAACAAGGAGGCCAATAGCTTTTAGTGACCAACAAAATGGGCCCAAGGTTTAGAAAACTGAGCTTTGGACCCACCCTCTTCCATTGGCCAACAATGAGGCCAATCACTTTTAGTGACCAACAGGGTAGGCCCAGAGTTTAGAAGACTGAGCTTTGGACCCAACCCCTTCCATTGGCCAACAATGAGGCCAATTGCTTTTATTGACCAACAGATTGGGCCCAACGTTTAGAAGACTGAGCTTTAGACCCACCCCCTTCCATTGGCGAACAAGGAGGCCAATAGCTTTTAGTGACCAACAGGGTGAGTCCATAGTTCAGGAAAATTAGCTATGAATCCACCCCCTTCCATTGGCCAACAAAGAAGATAATAGCATTTAATGACTAACAGGGAGGTTCGGGAGGCAGTGAAGGCACCCACTTCCTGCACCTTTGTTTTACATTACTGGGAACAGTAGTTTTTGGTTCTCTAGAAGAAAACTGAAAATGCAAACTCCATGCAGATGGAGAAACCAAGGACCCCAGTGCTGCAAAGCAGAAGTGTTAACCACTAACACTAAGCCACCTACTAGTGCTTGAATAGGTTTTCAACATTAACCCAGGTACCCTAAAATCTGGGGCGCTTAATTATAAAATACCAATTTTTGGACCCACCTCTTTCCTCTCCTCATTGGTCATCAAGGAAGCCAATAGCAATTAGTGACCGATAGGGTGGATCCAAGGTCCAGAAAACTGAGCTTTGGATCCTCCCCCCCCTACCCCGAATCATTGGTCAAAAAAGGAGGCCAGCAGCATTTAGTGACCAACAGGCTGGGTCCAAAGACCAGAAAACAGAGCTATGGACCCATCTTATTTCCCACTTCATTTGTCAACTCGGATGCCAGTAGCATTTATTGACCAACAGGATGGGTTCAAAGTCCAGAAAAATTAACTTTGGACCTACCCCCTTTACCACTTCATTGGTCTACAAGGTGGCCAATAGCCTTTAGTGACCAGCAAGGAAGTGTGGGAAGCAGATGGAGGCACCCTCCTCCCGCACCTTTGTTTCACAATACAAGGTATAGCAGGATTTGGGGCTCTTGAAGAAAGCTGAAGCCACATGTGGCCAACTGTAGGTGCCTCATATTTTGTTGAGATGTTAGTTTATGAACATGGGAATGGTTTGTTTTTACGGTTCACTAGCTCCCTGATAGTAACAACTATGGACCAATGCGTGTCGGTGTGGCCACCTGCATTATCCACTAGGAGACAGGGTGACAACACAGGGGAACAATTGGAATACAGTTGTCACCTTATAACAGGAAGTGCCTAAACAAGCACCATAATGGCATGATCACCCTTATATGAGGTTTTTCTGAATGGGTTTGGATCAACAGGGTGATCTTTATAAAGTATTTTAGGGCAATGCAAACACACCCCAACTGGCTTTGGGGCGGCATATGCTTTATGTAAGGGTAGCACAGTGGCTTAGTGGTACCGGCTTTGCAGCACTGGGGTCCTTTGGTTGAATCCCAACCAGGGCACTATCTGCATGGAGTATGAACATTCTCCCTGTGCTTGTGTGGCTTTCCTTCCAGATTCCAAAGACATGCTGTCTAAATTGACCTTAGTATGTAAGACAGGAATCTTAGATTGTAAGCTCCTAGGGCGCAGGGACGGCTGTGCATGTAAAGTGCTATATAAATGTCTACAATTAATAAATAAACCTAATTGATCAAGATGCTACAAATGTGGCGGATATCTGGTTCCTTAACAGCGGCATTGATTTTGAAATAAAAGTCACACTCGATCAATTCTGGGATCCATTGAATAATGACTGGGGGGAAGCCTACCCTCCGTTGGTGTACGAAGGCCTCCGACCAGTGACAAGGCAATCTTTCCCAATCCTAATAAAAGTGTAGCAAGACGAGCCGACAATTACCGACAATGTAACACTTAACTGCTTTCACCTAATTTATATAAATCTTTCCACAAGACCGACATGAGTCTTAAAGTGTTACTAAACCCCGGGCCCTGCATTCACTATATCCGCTCTCCCCGGACCCTGCATTCACTATATCCGCTCTCCCCGGACCCTGCATTCACTATATCCGCTCTCCCCGGACCCTGCATTCATTATATCCGCTCTCCCCGGACCCTGCATTCACTATATCCGCTCTCCCCGGACCCTGCATTCATTATATCCGCTCTCCCCAGACCCTGCATTCACTATACCCGCTCTCCCCGGACCCCGCATTCACTATATCCGCTCTCCCCGGACCCCGCATTCACTATCTCTGGTCTCCCTGGACCCTGTAATTCACTATATCTGGTCTCCCCGGACCCTGCATTCACTATATCTGGTCTCCCTGGACCCTGTATTCACCATATCTGGTATCCCCGGACCCTGCATTCACTATATCTAGTCCCTCTGGACCCTGCATTCACTATATCTGGTCTCCCCGGACCCTGCATTCACTATATCCGCTCTCCCCGGACCCTGCATTCACTATATCTGGTCTCCCCGGACCCTGCATTCACTATCTCTGGTCTCTCTGGATCCTGCATTCACTATATCTGGTCTCCCCGGACCCTGCATTCGCTATCTCTGGTCTCCCTGGACCCCGCATTCACTATATCTGGTCTCCCCGGACCCTGCATTCACTATATCTGGTCTCCCCGGACCTTGCATTCACTATCTCTGGTCTCCCAGGACCTTGCATTCACTATATTCGCTCTCCCTGGACCCTGCATTCACTATATCTGGTCTCCCGGACCCTGCATTCCCTATATCTGGTCTCCCCGAACCCTGCATTCACTATATCCACTCTCCCCAGACTCTGCATTCACTATATCTGCTCTCCCCGGACCCTGCATTCACTATATCTGGTCTCCCCAGACCCTGCATTCACTATATCCGCTCTCTCCCCAGACCCTGCATTCACTATATCTGGTCTCCCCGGACCCTGCATTCACTATATCTGCTCTCCCCAGACCCTGCATTCACTATATCCGCTCTCCCCGGACCCTGCATTCACTATATCCCCTCTCCCCGAACCCTGCATTCACTATATCCACTCTCCCCAGACTCTGCATTCACTATATCCACTCTCCGCGGACCCTGCATTCACTATATCCGCTCTCCCCGGACCCTGCATTCACTATATCCGCTCTCCCCGGGCCCTGCATTCACTATATCTGGTCTCCCCGGACCCTGCATTCACTAGATCTGGTCTCCCCGGACCCTGCATTCCCTATATCTGGTCTCCCCGAACCCTGCATTTACTATATCCGCTCTCCACGGACTCTGCATTCACTATATCCGCTCTCCCCAGACCCTGCATTTACTATATCTGCTCTCCCCGGACCCTGCATTCACTATATCCACTCTCCCCGGACCCTGCATTCACTATATCCGCTCTCCCCGGACCCTGCAATCACTATATCCGCTCTCCCTGGACCCTGCATTCACTATATCCGGTCTCCCCGGACCCTGCATTCACTATATCCGCTCTCCCCGGACCCTGCATTCACTATATCCGCTCTCCCCGGACCCTGCATTCACTATATCTGCTCTCCCCGGACCCTGCGTTCACTATATCAGCTCTCCCCGGACCCTGCATTCACTATATCCGGTCTCCCCGGATCCTGCATTCACTATATCAGCTCTCCCCGGACCCTGCATTCACTATATCCGGTCTCCCCGGATCCTGCATTCACTATATCTGGTCTCCCCGGACCCTGCATTCACTATATCTGGTCTCCCCGGACCCTGCATTCACTTTGCTGCTTCCCTTTTCACTTTCAAGGCCAACTTTGGCTCCAAAAACCTACCACAAACCCCTGAAGAAAAGGCCACTATACAGCAGAGTTCATAAAGGGAGAAGAGCAAGCAGTGCAAGGAGCCAATCAGCTGAGAGAGATTAGCTCATCAGTTGGCTGTTTCCCCATTTATGTTCAAGGTCAACCTTGGCTCCAAAAGCATTCCACCAAGCCCCAGAAAAGTCCACTATACAGCAGGGATTACACAGGACAATGGGCAAGTATTGAATTGAGCCAACCAGTTGGGAGAGATGAGTTTGGTTGGCTGCTTCCCCTCTTCCCTTTCAAGTGCCAACCTTTGCTCCAAAAGCCTACCCAACAGAAGACGCCCACTGTACAGCTAAGCTCATTCAGGGAGATGGTCAAACGGTACAAGGAGCCAATCATTTGAGAGCAATGGGCTCATCAGTCTACTGCTCCTATTTTCACTGTCAAATCACGGGTTGGGGAGAGGGACAAGACCTGTAAGTTTTACTCAGCTACAGGGAGGAAAAAATAAGTCTCAAGCCATACCAGACAGGGCCGTGCTCTGAGGCAATGTAAATCTCAGGACCGAACGGACAGAAATGCCAATCATTTAGCAGGTAAAACAGCTCTCATATATGCATTTAGTGCGTATTTAGATGTTTTCCTGGAGTTCAGCTTTAAATATAACTAAAACAGCTTCAACAAAACCATTTTTCCTGAAAAATCATTATTTACAGGGCTCTTGACGTCATATATGTTGAAAAAGCTCAACATTTGTCACTCTTCTTGAAATAATTCATAAGCAAAAGTACAAAAACAAAAATGCACAAGACCCAACCATACAATACCCAGCCATACCTGACCCAAGCATACCCAACCCAACCATACAAGACTCAACCATGCCCAACCGTGCCTCACCCAACCATACAAGACCCAGCCATACCTGACCCAACCATACCCAGCCATACCCGACCCAACCATACAAGACCCAACCATACCCAACCATACCTGACCAAACCATACAAGACCCAGGCATACCTGACCCAACCATACCCAACCATACAAGACCCAACCATACCCGACCCAACCATACAAGACCCAGCCATACCTGACCCAATCATACCCAACCATACCCCACCCCCAACCATACAAGACCCCAACCATACCTGACCCAACCGTCCCCGACCCAACCCAACCATACAAGACCCAACCATACCTGACCCAATCATACCCAACCATACCCGACCCAACCATACCCCACCCAACCACACAAGACCCAACCATACCTGACCCAACCATACCCGACCCAACCATACAAGACCCAACCATACCTGACCCAACCATACCCAACCACATTTGAGCCAATCATTTGAGAGCAATGGGCTCATCGGTCTGCTGCTCCTATTTCCACTGTCTCAAGCCGTACCAGACAGGGCCGTGCTCTGAGGCAGAGCCATGTAAATCTCAGGACCGGACGGACAGAAATGCCAATCATTTGGCAGGTAAAACAGCTCTCATATATGCATTTAGTGCGTATTTAGCTTTTCCTGGAGTTCAGCTTTAAATATAACTAAAACAGCTTCAACAAAACCATTTTTCCTGAAAAATCATTATTTACAGGGCTCTTGACGTCATATATGCTGAAAAAGCTCAACATTTGTCACTCTTCTTGAAATAATTCATAAGCAAAAGTAAAACAAAAATGCACAAGACCCAACCATACAATACCCAGCCATACCTGACCCAAGCATACCCAACCCAACCATACAAGACTCAACCATGCCCAACCGTGCCTCACCCAACCATACAAGACCCAGCCATACCTGACCCAACCATACCCAGCCATACCCGACCCAACCATACCCAACCATACCCAACCATACCTGACCAAACCATACAAGACCCAGGCATACCTGACCCAACCATACCCAACCATACAAGACCCCCAACCATACAAGACCCAGCCATACCTGACCCAATCATACCCAACCATACCCCACCCAACCATACAAGACCCAACCATACCTGACCCAACCATACCCGACCCAACCCAACCATACAAGACCCAACCATACCTGACCCAATCATACCCAACCATACCCGACCCAACCATACCCCACCCAACCACACAAGACCCAACCATACCTGACCCAACCATACCCAACCACATTTGAGCCAATCATTTGAGAGCAATGGGCTCATCGGTCTGCTGCTCCTATTTTCACTGTCTCAAGCCGTACCAGACAGGGCCGTGCTCTGAGGCAGAGCCATGTAAATCTCAGGACCGGACGGACAGAAATGCCAATCATTTGGCAGGTAAAACAGCTCTCATATATGCATTTAGTGTGTATTTAGCTTTTCCTGGAGTTCAGCTTTAAATATAACTAAAACAGCTTCAACAAAACCATTTTTCCTGAAAAATCATTATTTACAGGGCTCTTGACGTCATATATGCTGAAAAAGCTCAACATTTGTCACTCTTCTTGAAATAATTCATAAGCAAAAGTTAAAAAAAAAAAAAAATGCACACATAACATTAGGGCTGATCGAGGAATTGCTAATTTTGTCCTCCTAAAAGGTGTCACACTTTATAAGATTAGCGTCGCAAATTGGTAACCTATTGCCGGCCCGCTTCTGCCTAAATGCGTTTTGATGTAGAAATAATGGCTGTAATAGTGAAAATAAGTGAATGGGTGCAATGCATTTATCATTATTACACTTATTACTGTAACATTTATTGTAATATTATGCTCCAGTCCCGCATATTTAGCCGTCCCTGGGAACTTTTCCCTCCTGGCCATGGAAGGAAAGCGCTGCTTTAACCCCTGAGCTAAAAGACGGGGCTTCCATGTTTGCATGTTTATATTACATCCCCACATACATTATTCTAATTTTATTTCATTGTTTCCAGCCGATGCACATGAGAGATCTGCCAACACATTTTAAATTGAAACTTCTTTTTAACCACGGAAAATAAAAAAAAAAAAAAAAAAAGATGAAAAAGCCTCAGAGATGCTTCTTGTTTATTTTATTGTATATCTGTTTTGAAGACCTGAAGCTTTTAATACTTTTTTTTTTTACTGCTTTAGTTTACTCTAATTGCATCTACAGCATAATTTTCTATGGATTTTATGTTAGGTGGCCTTGGAATAAATATAAAGAAATGTGCAACCATTACACCTACTCTAAGGCCAACGTAAGTGGATAACCTTCCAAATGATTGAATGATGAGTTTAGGTGTTCCCAGTGAAGGGTATGTTTAATGCTAAAGCGGGGGTCTCTAAACTCTCTAAAAAAGGGCCAATTTACTTCCCTTTAGACTTTAGGGGCTAGACAGAGGCCAGTAGGAGCAGAAAATAACTCCAATATGAAGAACAGTGCCCAATCATTGATGTCAGTGGAAAGAATAGTGCACCATCATTGGTGTCAGTGGGAGGAATAGCGCCCCATCATTGGTGCCCCATCATTGGTGTCAGTGGAAGGAATAGTGCCCAATCATTGGTGCCCCATCATTGGTATTAGTAGGAGGAATAGTGCCCAATCATTGGTGTTAGTGGGAGGAATAGTGCCCCATCATTGGTATCAGTGAGAGGAATAGCCCCCATCATTAATCATTGGTATCAGTGGAAGGAATAGTGCTCCATCCTTGGTGGTCAGTAGGGGTAGTGCCCCATCCTTGATGTCAGTGGGAGGAATAGTGCCCCATCCTTGATGTTAGTGGGAGGAATAGTGCCCCATCATTGGTATCAGTGGGAGTAATAATGCCCCATCATTGGTATCAGTGGGAGGAATAGTGCCCCATCATTGGTATCAGTGGGAGGAATAGTGCCCCATCATTGGTATTGGTGGAAGGAATAGTGCCCCATCATTGGTATCAGTGGAAGGAATAGTGCCCATCATTGGTGTAAGTGGAAGGAATAATA